GTAATTGAGCATTTCTGCTAATACAGATGAGTAGCCTTGCTTGCTAAAAGCATTTACTGATGAAGGTCAAAGACTGTATAACCTTCAGTATTAATTCCACCTCTGCAGAAAGAAAACGAATACCAGCATGCAACTAACATCATGATCAATGAGAAAAGACTGACCTTGTCAAGGATTTCTTCTTCATTGAATGCACAGTCCCTGCCCACTGAAGTAGTAGTCAAGATAGCAGTTAACATGTTGCATTTCTAAACCTGCTGCAAAGGACCTCTTTAAACTGTTAAAGAGCAAGGACATCACATTGAGAACTAAGGTCCTTCTGACCTAAACTATGGTATTTTCAGTTGCCTTATATGCAATGATTGAAGAATTGTTATATTTATTGAGGACCAAAATAGAAGGCCCCAGTTACATTTCGAGCATTAAAAGATCCTTACCACTGGGCCAATAGGCAATGTCATAATAGATGGAGAAACGATTGAATCTGTCAGTGATTTCATCTTACTTGGAGCCACAGTCAATACCCTCATTACAGCAGTCAGATCAGGAGATGTATGGTATTGAGAAAATATTAAGTCAGTGACCTGTCCAAAATACTGAAGAGCAATGATGTCATTTTGAATACTAGGGTGTGCCTGATTCACGCCATACTCTTTTTATTCATTTGTTATGCATCTGAGAGCTGGACGGTGAATAAGGATGGCAGAAGAAAAATTGATGCCTTTGAGCTGTGGTGCTGGAGAAGAGCACTGAATATCCCATGGGCTGCCAAATGAAGAAACAGATAAGTCTTAGAGAAGGTGCAGCCAGAGTGCTCCTTGGAGACAAGCGATGGAAAAGCCTCATCTCACATACATTGGACATGTTACTAGGAGAAGCTATTTCTTGGAAAGGGTGTCATAGGTATCCATATGTCTGTTTGAGTCATTTCTATTAGATATATGGGATATATTCTTAGGAGTAGGATTGTAGGAATATATAGGTTGGAAAAGTGGAGGTCAACAAAAGAGAGGAAGACCCCCAATGAGATGGATTGACACAATTGATTGGCAATGGGCTCAAGTGTATCAGAGATGGTGAGCATGGCATAGGACTAAGGTTAGTGTTGTTCATGGCATCACTATGAATTATACTTGACTTGATGGCGCCTAACAACAACAGAAGTTAGAAGGGGGAGAATATGTAGGACAAGATTCAAAGACATAGGACAGGGTGGGACCTTGGAGAAGAATGTCATGCTGGGGAGAATGGAGGGACAGCGCAGGAGAGGAAGGCCCTCTATGAGGTGGATTGATTCAGTGACTTGGGTAATGGGCGTGGTGTGTCAGAGACAGTGCAATTGGCACAGGACAGAGCAGAGTTTAGGGCTGTTGTACACAAGGTCGCTATGAGTCACAGACGACTTTACAGCCCGTAACACCACCACCAGAGTTATCTTGAAAAAGGTCAGCCTTTCTGATCAGAAAGACACTAGCAGAACACCTGAGAGTGTCATACCAAAGAAACGTTCCACCTTGAAATTGGAAGAGCTCCCTCCCAGAGGACACCTTTCCGAGGAGAGTTGGCTTGACGCAGAGACTGCAGCAACGCACGAGACCCTGACAGGGAACGTGAGATGGCATAGACAGGACACGCTTCCAGGCTTTTGTATATAGGGTTGCTGTGAATTGAGGTCAATCTGACAAACACCTCACAACAACAAACATTTTGTTATTTTCAACCTGCTGATCACCAATTTCTCCATGAGACATTATTGTTGGTCAGGAGCAACCTAGTGGTCTGAGTTTGTTTCACACTACCTTTAAACAGTTTCTGCAAGCAAAGACCCAAACTAGGACTTCCAAAGGAGTCTTTTAATACTTATTTACATGGACGGAACTGGAGTCAGTAAAACCCTGGCTTGTGACACGGACATCCATGGTGGTCTTTCTGGTCGTGGACACAGGCATCAGGATGCTCCCAGAGCGGTCAGGGTTTGACTGCTGAGCACTGCTCAGTTTTTTCCTGAGAAGGTGCCTACCTCTGCCAGAGGAAGGCAGCAGTGAGACAGCCTGGACAGAGACCCGTCAGGGCCCGTGACATCCTAAAGTCAGCTGAACCATGTTGGGCTCATCAGGTAAGCTTGAGCTCTTGCCTTGAGAGAAGGCGGCAGAAGCTCATTATTCTGCAACCTGGAGGCTGAAGTTGTAGCACTGAGTAACAGGCTCAGCAAACTCCCGATCTCGTAACGATGTATGATTGCGAAAGCCCATTAGCATTATGCCTTTCTCTTCATATTTAAAACAAAACAAACCAGAAGTTAACCATTGTCAGAGACATCCTTTAGAATGTTCCATCTGACTCAGTCAGTCATGGGAGGGTCGTTATGTACTGCTGAGTTGGAATCAACTCATAGCTGACCCTCCAGTGGGCTTTCAGAGGCTGTAAATCATATGTGAGGAGACTGCCCATCTTTCTCCCTTGGAGAAGCTGGTAGATTTAACCCGTGTGCCTTTGGGTTAGCAGTGTAGGTCCTCACCATAAGGCCACTAGAGCTCCCTGTAGGAGGGTTGGTGGTGGTTATTGTTAACATGCCATCAAGTTGACTGTGACTCACAGTGACCCTGTGAACAACACCTCGTAACCTTGCCCATCCTCAGCCAAGCTTACCATCTCTCACAGGCCATTGCCACAGTCACCGTGTCAGTCCATTTTGTTGAGTCTTCCTCCCCTGCGCTCACCTTCTGTCCCTTTAAGAATGATGTCCTTCTCCAAAGACTGACCCCTCCTGACAAGATGCTCAGAATATGTCAGACACAGTTCCATCATCCTTGTTTCCATGGACCACCGTGTTTTCACTTTCTCCAGGACAGACTTGTTTATTTATTATGCTATATCCAGTGCTCTTCTCTAGCACCACAACTGAAAGGAATCAGTTCTCTGTCATCCTTAGTTATTGTCAGTTTTCAGATACACAGCAAGCAATTGAGAAAGCTGTGGCTTGGATCAGGTACAAGGTAGTCTTTAGACTGACGTCACACAGGCAAATTCATTGCTTACAGTGATGCTGCTGGTTCCCACCATGTGTGTCGGGAGGACAGTTCTCGAACACGTCTGCTTTGGTTCGTGACTGGTTTGGTTACATTGAGTCTACTGGTTACTTTGCCTAAGCATTGCATTTTGGGGTTTCTATCAGTTCAGTCTCATCTGTTCTTCCCATTTGTCTTATGTTTTTGAGAGCTTGGTTGAACTTTATACCTCCTCTACTTCTCTTCAATGTCTTACATACAGAAATAATTTCAAACAAAATTTATCATTTCATTATATTAATGCTTGATAGTAAAACATAAAATGGACACAAGAAATAAAAATCTTTCAGCTCATTATACTCAGGCTACCTGGAAAACTGTACTGTATTAGCAACATAATTTAAAATTCTTTTGTTCAGATTGTCATCATAGGAATTGCGGAATAAAACATAGACATAAATTTTAAATAATTGGAGGAAACTTTTCTTTTTCTTTATTACTTGGTATAGTATATTAGGTGAAAAATTTTGTACAAATTTTTGCTATGTATTGATAGTACTGCAGTTTTAGGAGAAAGAAAAAAAAGACAGGCCTAACTATTAAATAAACAGAAACACTTTAGAAAGCCATTTTATACTCAGGTGAAAAAGAAATTTTTCTTTGTTACTTTATGAATTTACTTTGTTAATTTATGAATGTAAATATTGAAGAACTCCTATGCTTTCTCCTTCTAGGCAGTATAAAGGTATGAAAGCTCAGGAAATTTTTTTGCTGATTTTCTAATTCACGGGGAAAAAATCACAGAGAACATTTTGAAAGCGAGCTTTCAAAAAGCAAACTTAATTCTTGATTTGCACTTAGAACTTGAAAATTTCAAATCTGAGGAGTGCAATCACTCCTGCCGTGTAGTGGAGCCTGCACGCTGGGAGAAATGAATGCTATAGCTTTAAGATAAGGTAGTCTGGTGATTCATTGCACGAAACAAGATCGATTGGGAGCCGGCTCCTACTGTTAGCTTTTTTGAAGATGGATTCTCATGCCGAAAAATAACACAACATATTCTAGATAGCGGCAGTTTTTGGCCCCGAAATCCACCAAAACTGAAGAAAAATCCAAGTGACTGTTCTTAGCAGCTGTGTGGCCTTGAGTTCACTGGGGAAGCTGGCTTCCTGCAGTCCCCTATTCATCACCTGCTTCAAAGACAGCCTGGCTGGCTATAGTTTGCAGGCCAGGTAGGGTGCCATTGTGCACAGTCTGGGAGGATTAGTATCAAAGCTGCGGCAACCAGGCCCTTGGTCTCGGGCTGCCATTCAGTCTAGCAGGGAGAGGCTAAGACTGGCCAAGGTCACAGTCTCCAGTGTGGAGTGGACTGGGAAAGGATCCTGAGAATAGAATGCTTTTTATGAAATCATGGCGCAAGCTTGCAGCACAGCAGGTGTCCTTCTGGAACACAGAACATCTGTTTATGTTGGTATACCATAGCTGACAACGAGATAATAGAGCTTTGAAATTTATCATTTTATTTTTAAAAAGACAACTGTAGATACAATAATCCAGATGCGTATTCAGCTGAGATCTTTTATCTGAAAATGATAAAGAAAACTGACCGATGTAATTGCTGCTTTTCCCATGTACATATTTAAGTAAAAAGCAAAGCGCACCGACGATTAACCATTTATAACCATGCTGATCACTAATACCCCGATTCGTGGGGAGGAAGCACCTAACATTCACCATCATTTTTTTTCCATGTTCAGACATTTGTGTCAACAGATTGCAGGAGGATTTACTGACTGTGCCCACCTTCTTTGAATAGCGGGAGGCTTGGGTAACCCCACCCCCCAAAAGAAAGGTATTTCAAGGGTGAGGTAATAATGACGCAAAAATAAAAATTTCAACTTGGACAAATTAGGGAAAAATTAAGCTGTCCATGAGTTGTCATGACGACAAGGATGTTCTGTTGATGAACTGTCCTCCTCATTGTCCAATCAGATAGTAGAGCTGAAGCTGGTGCATGAACAGGAGAAGACGCACCTATTACAGCAGCATAACGCAGAGAGGGACAGCCTAGTCCGAGACCATGATCGGGAAATGGAAAACCTGGAAAAACAGCTTCGCGCTGCCAACATGGAGCACGAAAATCAAATTCAAGAGTTCAAGAAACGAGATGCACAGGTAATTATCAATAATATTTGATAAAACGGCTATCTATTTTTTTTTAAAGTCACCAGCGTTTCATGTTTTTTTTCCTTATTATTATTGATGCACGCTGTTTGATCATTTGCAAAACTGACATATAAATGTGAATTTGTTTTGTGTTGTTTTCTCCCCCCCCCTCCTCCGTTTTGGGATGAATAAGGCTTTAACTAGAGAAACCACAGGTAGCCAGATTAAAAATCCCATGGCGCGCTATAACTTGGCCTCTTTTTTTATAATCTTGTCTCAATTCCTTTCATGATGGATTTTTTTTCTAAGGTATCTGCCCCTAACCCCTCCCCTCAGCCTTAGCAAATCCCTATGAAATATATCAGGGCTGCCCTTGCTTTTTGTTTTAATCTCTGCAGGTAATAAAGCATTTCTTTTAGTGTTTGCTTTTCCTTCCTAGTGTTGCTTTTTCCCCTCAGCCTGCTTGGTTAGCTCACTCAGATGGTAATTGATAGAAATGACTCGAGAGCAGGGCTATTTCCCATCAGGGCTGTTGTTTTTTTGCTACATGCACATACACATGCCTCTTAGCCTCCATCTCTGTAGTCCCTGTTGGAAGCCATTTGGCAGAATAACCCCCAGCTGTGGTAGCATTTGACTCTTCAAACTTATGGATGAAATGTGCACTGTCAGCATGGAAAATTATCTTTATAAATTTCAGATGAAAAAAAACCCTTATTGGGTGTGTATCTTTGTGGTACAATACATTCTTCAGGGTATATATAATTAAAGGCCTTCAGTGTACCCTCTTGAGATTACTGTGAAATTTTATTAGGAAGAAATTTAAGAGCAATTGATGACAATAAAAAGATAATTTTCTTTCCCAATAAAACCCTATCATATACTAGGTCTAAACGCCTCTTTTCCCATTGAAATCAAGCCATACTTTTCCACACCACACATATTCTTCCCCTAGATATCCTTTCTTGTTAAAGAGTGTCATTTTCAAACACCAATATGAGCCTTCTATCTGTTGTTATATGTATTTAAACAATATACAATTGTCTAAACAGAAGAATACTCCCAATTAAAAAAAATGTTAATTCCTTAAATGAAGGGCAGGAGGCGGTAAGAGAAAGAATAGGAATTTTTGCCCATTTTTAATTTGACCTTGGATTGTTTATCACTTTCTGAGGCTAACTGGAACAATATAAATATACTGAGTACATGGGTTTTTATGTTTTTCAAATTTTCTGTCAATAATATGCACATATAGGAAAGTCATTTTTGGTTTGTTTTATGTGGCTTTCTAACTACAAAGATGTCGTCTCAGTAGCCATGGAACCAGAATTTCCAGGTTCTTGTTAAATCAACGTGTAGTATACTTTTGCCATCAACCCTGTTAGAGCCTTTATCAAATAGATGGTGATCCTTGTGATTTTAGCTATCCATTTGATTAAGAGTCTTTTCAAACCTAGGCTTGCCCTCCAACATACTGTGAAGCCTTGCCATTGTTCTTGTATGATAAGGGATTTGGGTTCTGAATCAGTATAGGGTCTGTTTGCATAGAGGAATTCAATAACTGATACAATAAACTACATTCATTTACATAACATCCTACTACTTTGGTGCTGTTGTAGGAAGCCGACGCAAGCGGAGGCCAAATTTAGAGGGAAATCTTTGTGATTTTGCATATGTCGTATCTGCCATATAGGGTGCGGTTCATCCAATGATAACAAAAGGGACATTTTAGAACTATTATGTATAATTAAGCCATAGGGATAGTATAATAAGGTTATTAATTGAATTTTTCCCCATTCAAGTGTAATGAGAACTATATAGACTCTTCAGATACTATTCCTGAGGGTTTTGTTTCTTCTATTTTGTGTCTTTCTTGGAACGTTTTATTGATAGCCTATTGCTGTCACGGGAATACCAGTAAGCCATGGAAACTGAAGCTAAATATATTCTTAAAATAATTTCCCATGTAAATGATACTTACTTACTTTTTTTTAGAGAATATATATTTACAAACAGTTGATCAGTAATTTATCTTTTATCATGTGTACCAAAATGCTAGCAATAGTCATTTTTTGGTTGCCCTTTGAAGTTATTAACTTCAAGTCAGTGCTACATTTTTCAAATATTTCTCTTCATGATTATGTACAAAAATCTAAGAGATAAAAATTTTTAAGTCCTGAATTCTACTCACGAATCTCAAACAACAAACAACAGGCAAACAATAAAAATCCCAGTAGGCATCTGTATTTTCAGGAATATCTTGGGAATCACTGTGGTTTAACACTGAGCAAACACATTCATCTTCAGTACTGACTGCTTCGTTTTCATCTTCACTCAGAGGGATCTGAGGTTCGGTTAGCGTCTGGCCGTTCCACTTCAGCAGCGGAGGCCATTTTGAAGAAAGGACTTTGTGAAATCCTGAAGAGACAGTGAAATGCTGGTTTTGGACACTGTGGCTTTGTTTGCCAAACATGTTTGTTTTCTTCCATCATATTTTCAAAAGAAGACAGTATCCAAAGCTCTCTTTTGCTTTTTCCAAAGAGGTAGTATATTTTATAATGATAAGGAAATCATGATATAGTTACCTACCTAAGAGTCAGTCATACCAATTAACAGTTCTCATTTGATATGTATGGAATATATTTATATTGATAGACTGGCTTTCAAATAATCTCTTTTAAGATAAATTATTAAGGTGTGATTATTCTGTGTGTTATGTTTTTTTCATAATGTTTGATTTTTAATAGTAGGATGATTTTTGTGGTATTTATGTTTGCCAAAATGTTCATTGAATAGGAGTTATTCTCTTATAAAAGTGTCATACCCAGTATCTATCTAAGTAAGGTTATGATGTTTTTGGGAAAAAATCTAGATCCATAGAAATCAGGATGTATTGACTCCAGATTCATGGTTGGGGGTATCTCATGGTTGGGGGTATCATGTTTGCTTGGTCCTTCTTGCTGAAATCAAGGTGGCTTGGTGGTGTACTGCTTAAAGCACTAGACCGCTAGCTAAAAGGTGAGCAGTTGGAGCCAACGACTGCTTCAAGGGAGCAGTTAGCTCCCGTAAAGCAGGTGGCGTTCAGCTCTTCTAGAGATTCCAGCTTTAGGAATTCTAAGTGGCATTTCTATACTGTGCTGTAGGATCATCCTGATTCCGAATCAGGGTCAGAGCAGTGGGTTTTTACCGGAGTCCTTATTGGAATTATTTTGGAAAGCAATTGATTTATTCAACCACATTTTTAAATCTAAATAAAATTGATAAAGATTATCTTTGGAAAGCTTCTTCTAAGTTCTATATGTGTTGTAAACAGCAGTCCAGTGAGAAATCTTTGCAGTTTATCCTGTTGAATGAGGAGAAAGAAATACAACTTTGGCTCCTTGGTCTTGTTGCTGTTTTGTTTTTTTTAAAGACCTTGAGTAATTTAGAAATTGCTTGATTTTTTCATATTAGGGGTGTGGGGTGTGTGTGTGTGTGTGTGTGTTGGGGTGTACTCACATGTGTATGCATGCTCTCACCTTCTTGGAACAGCGGTTCGTGTGAACTGTTCAAGACAGACTGAAGAGTGAGGGTGCCCTCAAGTAGCCTTGGGCACCATGGACAGTGTAACTAACGCATGTTGACCACAGCATGCTTGGAGAAGGGCCTCAGCAATACCGGAGAAAGCATTAAACTTAGTATGTACATATGGTAAATCATTGACATCTCTGTACTAGTCTTGATTTTCTAAACTGAGCATCATTATTCTAATATCAACAGTTTCTGTATAATGAATGGATAAAGTATCGTGATTTTACTAACTTGATTTACATTGAAGCTCATCCTATCCCTGATTCTAAAAAATAGAATTTGTAGAATTTCTTGTCTTTCTCTTCCTAGCAAAAAAAACCCCCCAAAAAAACAACAAAACAAAACATAAATCAAAGCAAAACCAAAACACCAAAAACTGTTCCTAAATAGATATTAATTAAGTATAAGGCATTTTGTTTTGTTTTTTTAAAAAAACACAACTTATTGCAGTGACATTATTTCCATGAATGTGGGTATTTGGACACAAGATAAAAGGCCCACATAGAAACTGGGTGTGTGCATGCCTACAGTGGACCAAACACTGGTAACTAATCTTAAGATATTACCCATAAGATCTGACAGTGGTGTAGTCTGAATGGAAGCCTTGGGTGATGCAGACGGTTAACACATTTAGCTACAGGTGGAAGATGGAGGTTCGAGTCCAGTTGGAGCGTTCTCAGAGTAAAGGCTTGCTTATCTGTTTATGAAATGCAGCCGTTGAAACGCAGACCCACCTTGGCACCACAGACTCACTGGGAGTCCGAGTTCGTTCAGTGGCACCTCTTCCAGCTGAACACTGGCTACGCCCGGTGCCTGTGGCCTCTGGGCTGGAGTGGCCGACTTCCTATTGGTGACACTTGATCTTAATTTATGTCCAAGCTGCTTTCAGAAAGGACTTGAGGCATTGTTTTTTAATAAACATTTGCACAGGTAAAATTGAATTAAGAAAATAAACAATAACTGATCTATTTGATAACCATATCAGAAAACTGTTTTGTGTTTTGTTTTGTTTTTTTAAAATTTCTATAGTCCCATACAAGGTTAGTTTTGAGCTTAACCTGGAAGCTGTCTGTAGCAGAGAAGGAAATGTTATTACCTAGAAATCATTCTAGTTCTTTTTTTCCTCACTAGCCCTCAGTTCTAAGAGAAATTTGTGACCTGGGAACTTACTATACAAGGACATTGGCCAGCATGTCTGATGCTGTTCTTTGTGTTTTAATACCTTTGGAAATAAAATCTGCTGTAAGAAACCTTAGGTTCTTCAGCAGATTTTATTTTAATGTGTCAAGTTTAACTTTAATATACTGAGGGTATGTATTTGTCAAGTCAACAAATAACACTACTTTGAAAGATTTAACTTTATGAATGTTATGAATGAAGAAAAAAAGTGCTTTAATTCATGGGCTTAGCCATTCAGTTTCTTCCACTGTATCGCTGTT